ACCATCAATTCCTTGATTAATAAAATCCTTATACTCGAGTTGTTGTCAGATGGAAGACACGTGTCAAGTACTTTCGACAATTTCAAATTGTCATCTTCAGAGCGCAATTTTCCCATACATAGGCAAACACTAAGACGAAATATGTGTAGACCGAAAGATGTTTTTTTTTTTTAAATTATGCTATTTATTGATACTTGAATATATGTTTCGGAGTGTTTCTTCGAATTTTGAAAAGTTATAAATCCACGAAACTTTCTTGTTATATGTATTTATCTGTTAAAATGAAATGGAATTAGTATAATCCAATAATATGTATATATATATATATATATATATATATATATATATATATATATAGATAGATAGATAGATAGATAGATAGATAGATAGATTAAAATAATAACTCTAGCTATTAATATACGTAAAATTCCATAATTTAGCGTATATGAAACTGGACAAAATTTCTGCCAATAAAGTGCTCAATAATTGACAAGAGCAATAATTATTCGATGTCGACTTCTAGTTATATATATATATATATATATATATTATTTACTTCATATTATTTTGCCCTGTTCTTTTCTTCCTTTTTATTCCTTATTGAGAATTTGAAGTTGAAGTAAAGTTGCATATAATACAACAGAAAAATTCTACTTCGAAATTTTTCACCGATGACCCGGCCTCGTCAGAAAAATAATTTTATTTTAACAAAATCTGCCCCTGTATCTGCGAGACAACATTTATGTTAGCCCTTTTGGTATTTCACTATATCGTTACAGAAACCAGATTTTAACGATTCAACTTGGTTTTGACCTTTTTGCATTTTTGGCATTTAATTTCATTTTTTTTTTATTTAATTAGTGATTTTAGTTTTGACATAGGAATCAGCTATGCATCACGACTGTCGGTTTCATGGCTTAAACGATTATCAAACATACTTAAGACGTAAAACTGATAGCAACCATGCAGTCTTGATTTCTCGGCTCTTTGTTCTTCTTTGGTGCACACTTCTAGCGAAGCGGGCATGTTTACACTGTAACGGCAGTAAGAAAACTGGTGCGATCAAGCTCAAACTTCAATCACGCGACCACAATAGTACCAACTATATGCGCGCATGAGGAGAGGACCTGAAAGCCTAAAGATATGTCATGACGAAAGTCCGGATAATTTTTGACGTAACCTCGTATAAAATTGACTGACTTACCCTCGTTTAAAATTTACTATATTTCTAAAGGAAGAAGAGTTCTCGATATTGGAGACAGTGTGTATAGATATGGAGATGATTTGAAGATGTGAAACTAATATTCACTATACAATGTTCATTCATCTCTCACTCTCTCTCTCTTTCTCTCTCTCTCTCACTCTCTCTCTCACTCTCTCTCTCTCTCTTTCTCTCTCTCACACACACACACAAATCAAATAAGAAAACGAAATAATGGCCAAATGAAGACATATATAAATATTTACTTTATTATTTAATTTAAGCATTATTAAAAAAAATTATTTAAGTAAAAGATGAAATACAATTTATCTAAATCAAGAAAAACTAGAACGCTAAAAAGATTAACAACGACCGTTCATATCTAGAAAACCGGAAGTCAAAATGAATATAATTAAAAAAAAAGAGGAAAAAGAGAGAAAAAGTTAAGCTGTGAGTGTAAAATGAAAAGAAGGACGAAAAGGACAAATGACAACGACATTCTGCACATAGGCCCAGACGAGCGTACGCGCTGGAACGCACGCACGCACGCACGCACGCACGCCTACACTATGAAAAAAAAAGAAAAAAACTTGCACCAATGAAAAGTGTATATAAAAAGGAAAAATCGAAAAGTATAAACAGTCAATTGCTGACGAGTGGACAGAGTTATTCCGGGAGCGGGGGGTCCGTCAGAAGTCGGAATGCTGAAGGCAACATCAATCAGCTAAGTGACAAACCTTTTACTTTTTTTAAAATCATTTCACTCCAAGCAAGGCGGGAATGTACGCGGGGGGGGGGGTACAAGTGAAAGTGAGAGAAAAAGACTGAGTATAGGGGGGATTGAGGAAAGGACAAATATGAATGAGATTCTAGATTTTTGAAGATTGAAGTTATCAGGACGCCAATAAACGGAAGAAAGTTCCACGGACGGGATGTGCAAGAAAAGAAACTGTTGGAGTAAGTAGTGGTTAATTCTCTCTCTCTCTCTCTCTCTCTCTCTCTCTATATATATATATATATATATATATATATATATATATATATATATATATATATGAATAACATAAAAATGAAATTCAATTGTACCCCATTTTTATGGCCATTTCGCTCTTCGGGATAAATTTCCTGGAGCATGTGAACACTAAAACGTTTCATATATATATATATATATATATATAGCTGGCCACTCGTATTCGAAGATACCCGTCTACTAAGGTGGCTAGCTAATCCCTATTGCAGACAAGCCCTCGACCACGATAACTTGTGGCTTTGCGATAGCAGAGCTATTGACGACCCTCAAAAGTTCCGTCTATCCAATTTCACTCACTTTCTAAAGGTGCCACACCCGAACTCGATCCATTCCGATAACATCAGAAGTCCCCCCTTCCAACAAATCGACCATGGTGCGATTCAGACCTGGATCTTATGGTCAGATATATATATATATATATATATATATATATATATATATATATATATATATATATATATATATATATATATATATATATATAATAAAAATGCCTATATTCTTTAGTGCACTTCTTCAGAACATTTGTAAACTCAAACAAAAAAAAATCTGATTTCCATTCCACAACGTGCGAGGGATTAGAAAAAAATGAATTCGTGAATTCGTCTGAGAGACACGCCCTCTAATCCCGACCTTACACAATCGTTTGGCCCTTGCCGGCTTCACAATTCTTCATTTATATTTCAGCCTTACCGCTTCCTGCACACATTTTCCCCGTTAATCTTAATCCTTGTACAACTTAATCCATCCGTGTTAGGGATTCACCTAAAAATTGATTGACTGACATTGTAGCAATCAATGAAAATAACCTTTAATGACGGGAAAAAAACAGACAATGTAAGTAAAAATATATAGATAAGTGGACTTAATAAACATCTACATATATACATAAGCGCTCGAACCTCTTCCTCTCTCTTACACATACACACACATTCTATTACTTCTCCCTTTCTCTTATTTTATATTTCTCTTTTTATATCTTTTCTCTCTCTTTTTTCCCTATTTCTGTCTCTTTTCCTTTCTTTTTCAATTTCTCGCTATTCCTTTTAATCTTTTTCTTTCTCTCTTTTTCATTCTATTTCTGTTTCTCTATCTCTCTTTGTCTCCTCCTATTTCTCTCTCTCTCTCTTTGTTTCTCTCTCGTTCTTTTTCGCTTTCTTTCGGGTTCTCTCTTTCTTTCCTTTCTCCATCCCCTCCTCTTTCTCCCCCTCTCCACTCTCCCCATCTCCCTCTCTCGCCCCCTCTGTCTCTCTCTCTCTCACGTTCTCACTCTAATGTGTCTGCGTTCAGATTTCAACCATGCCAACAGATCGGTTCACCTATTATCAATTAAGAAACCACAATCAGCGTAAGGAAACACACACACATATAGAAAAACAAACATAACATGGACAGTTGCAAGTAACCTTGTATGCGCATGCGTTACAGAGATGTTTGAGTCGTGTATAATACATGTTAATCCATTGATAAAGTTAAATCCACACAGGTGACTCGATCTCCTAAATAAATTTCTAATCACGTGCGAAATCGACCTTCCTTCCACCAATGCCAAAGTCGTTGAACTGATGAACGCTTTGCCAACAGACGGCTTTTTAAGTTTGGGAGAAAAACGGTTATTAACGGAGCATTGTGGATAAAGAATCATAAACAAACATCATTTTTTTCAATTCATAATTCTACCTTAACATCTTTCTTTGGTTGCCTAAGAATGTCTGGGATTTTGACTACGGTAGTTGTGGATGAGAGTGTCACAACACAAATTGTTTCATCAATGTCTCTGACGATGTGAATGACAATTAAAAAAAAAAAGAAAAGTAACGACATAAATTCATGGAAAATTTCATTTTTTTTTCTTAACTTATTTATTGAAAAAAAAATGAACAAGAAAAATCTGCTTTCTGCTTTGAAGAAAATGTGACGAGGAAAATTTAAAAAATGAACAAGCGTCAATGACTTTTTTTATGTTTTCTTCAAAACTCGAACTTATTTTATTTTTATCAGGAAATATTCAGAGGCACTATCACAAGAAAAATGTTGTTTTTTTTATAATGCAAATGCATTAATTACTGCTTATAAAGTCCATTTTTTATTTTGAGAGCATGCAGCAGCGTTTGTTTCAGAAGCAGTGCATTTTCGGACAAATCTTTTGAATTTGATCAGTGATTTCACCGTGGACACAAAACACTGAGACGTTATCTACAGAATAGCAATAGAAAAGGAAAAAGAACTGCATTCAATCCCTGTTCGAATTTCTTTATTTTTGTTTTTGGGATAAAAAAAAAGAAAATAATTACTTTACTTCTCCATATCTAATTTTTGTTTTCAAATTGTGCATCTCTCCTATTCATGCTTTTTGTATAAAACATGTCCAAAGATTGTGAAGCCGATCAGAGAAATAAATAAGTATTGAGATATTTATCGGAGAAAAAGAATCAATTTTCTTTCAGCAAAATGTATACATACGTAGTAGAAAACGATACAATCTATGACATAAGTTCTCAGGAGTCAAATTGTACCAATGACCCCATGTCAATGGCCCAAGGAGGGGTCTATGCGGCGGTTACCTGGCATGTTTTTCTTGGTCTGTTAAGTATGCTCATGAACGGCGCCATTTTGACGGTAGCCATTTTCATGAATAAGAACAATCTCCAACCAAGCCATTTCTTCATTATCAATCTTGCACTAACCGATTTTTTCGGTGCTCTTTTCCTGACCATGTTCCACATTTGGCGTCTATTATCTCCTGACTCTGACATCGGCCTTTGCGGGATGCTTTTCCTTTCTACGTCTCTTTTCACTGCCGCTTCGGTTTGGAGCATCGCCATCATCAGCTTGGACCGTTACCGACTGATAGTGAAATATGAAAGTTACCGCGATACTATGACACCGATGCGCTGCAAGATGGCCATCGGTTTCGTCTGGTCCGTCTCGTCACTAGTCGGCTTCGTCCCATTCATCATCACTTTCAGCTCGTCTCACGTAACTTGTACAGCCGGCCACCCGATTCTCCAAGCCCACAACCGACGTTACGTCTACATTCTATCAGCGGCTCTATATTTCAACATTGGCTTCTTGCTTCCTACTGTCATCATCATCCAACATTATTTCTCTATTTTGAAATTTGCCTGGAAACGCGAGAAAAAATTTGTCTCCGCATTTAAACGATCGAGTTCGTCTCTTTTTCAAGGCGATCGTAGCAAACGCAGCCTTCTTATGAGTCTGCGTTATTTAAAAACTGCTCGTGTACTTTCGCTTCTTGTTCTCTGTTATATGGTCTGCTTTGTACCCTACTTCATACAACAATTCTTATGGGGTCTGCGAGTATGGAACCCTTGGTGTCCGCCGCTTATCCTCGAGGTGATTACCCGTTCGTTACTGATAAGCAATGCAATGTTTAATCCTTTCTTTTACGGCTTCTTAGACCGTTATTTCAGACAACAATGGCAGGAGTACGTGTGGGGACGGCTACCAAAATCTATACAGAAACGCCTGGCCCGATACCGGTTTTGCTACTCGAAAGAGATCGCCCAGGATATGTCAGACCTCTATCGAGATCAAGAAACGTCAGGAAATTCTGGTTGCAACCGACATTCAAGAATTTGCCGGTCGCCCGAAGAGGAAAGCGTCAGTGAAACAAGCAGTGGACAAGGGAAAGTAAATCTTGCATATTATACATCCGACAATTTAGTCATATAATTTTTGAAAAAAATGGAAAAACCAAAATTATTCTTTTTTCACGTACTATTGGAATATTTATTGGCATCAATCAAAATGGGACAAATTTTCCTGAGACACAATCTTTGCTCCCACCATTAACTGTGGGATGTGTTCAAGAGTCAAAACAATAAAATCTAATTCGGGTGGAAAAAAAGAAAGAAAAAAAGACGCTTGAGTGCTAAAAACTTTTCGGATGGACGTACTTCCCAAAATTTCCTAGAATTTTCTTTGGAACAACTTCTAGGATGGGTTGAGAACTTTTCAACACCTTCTTGTATATACATACATATATATATATATCATATGCTGTATCCCTGATATTGAACACTTTTAGCCATTAATATACCATACCTTAAAACTATATTTTATCATTTTATATATATATATATATATATATATATATATATATATATATATATATATATATATATTAATTTGAATTTGGTGGACAATTTTTGCTTACACAAATTTAGTTTCAAAACCAACTGAATTTTTTTTTTTAATATTTTTCTGTTCATTTTTTGTATGTTTTGGGTCATTTGCTTGGTTTCAGTGAAAATTTGAATATAAATTGTCCAATGTATGAGTCAGCTAAGTGACAAACTTTTTACTCATATTATATATATATATATATACATATATATATATATATATATATATATATATATATATATATAATGTATTATATATTCTATCATATGTAATGAAATATGCATGTGCGCCTTTATGTTTTTTTTTTATTTCATACAGTCTCTTATTTTGAAGCCAATCTTAATTTAGTCTCTCATCTAAAATGAAATTTAGTACAATTGAACATACAATTACAAATTGAAAACCATATCATTAATATTTCTTTTTCTTTCTTTCTTTCTTTCTTTCTTTTACAGTTTTCTTTCTTCTTTTCTCTTCAATATATTTCATTTATCATTTTTTCTCTTTTTTAATTTTCTCATTCTTAGGGATTATGTTTCATTCGAGCGAACAACTCAATTTCTTTGACTATTCCTTGTAATTCATCTTCCAGATCTTTTCTTTCTTCACTCTTTTCTTTTCCCATCCATTCATTCTTTGAACTTCCAGTGTCAAATTTAAACCAATCGGACCAATTGCTCTGAAAGCACCCCCCCCGACGCTTGACGCTTCACGTATTGTCAAATACACAAAACAACTTCTTACGACATTGAAGGTTTTTACAAATAGCAAGCTTTTAAATTTACTCCTAAATTCTGCAAATGTCGTTGGCGTTTATTTGCCTTTTCTTTCTTTGCATATTTGTTTTTTTTATTGCACTTGAATTAAATATGTTAATTATAGAACGGCATAGAAAATTATTTCTCTGACAGAGTTAAAAAGGATAAATATGTAAATATACGTGGAATATCTTTTAATAGGACATTGGTTGAGGATTTTGAAATACCATTCCTCGTCAAAGATAGAAAGAAAGAAAAAGAAGAAATGAAAGAATGAAGGAATGATTGAATAAAAGAAAGAATGAAAGCAATTAAATAACGTATTATAAAATTAATGATATTGTTTTTAAATTTGAAATATTATCCCCCGCCTCTTCTAAAAACTGCTTTTTTTCACGTCGAATTTGAATGCGTTATTTTTACTTATGTTGCTATTGGGTGTATTTGCAAGTTTAGAGCAGATCCATCGAAGGACTGAGGAATGCAAAATTAAAAAATAAGCAAAATAAAAAAAAATGTGCGTCAAATGCAATTAGATGGGAAGGATGAATTTGAAGGTGAGGATGGAGCAGAATAAAAAAGAAAAGAAAAAATAGACACAGGATGAGGAAGTGCGGATATCAGTAATTCTGTGTTACGCCTCATTACTAATCATGCTCAAGTGATAATTATTTACAACTCTCTCTTTCTCTTCAACAAACAATCTTTCTTTTTTTCTTTTTTTTGAGTGAGTTGTCATTATTCTTGTTATAAAAGCAGTCCACGTGACCAAAAGCATTTGTCGCAAATTATATCAACAGCCAAACCACCGGTCTCCAGCCTCCTTGTTTTTTTGTTTTGTTTTGTTTTGTTTTGGTTTTTTTTTTTTTTTTTTTTTTTGTTTGTTTTTAATACCACGTTTGCTTAAAAAAAAAAAAAAGATCAGCTTCAATGAAATCAATATTTGTTAATCTACTCACGCGTTTTCCTGTTTTGTTGGTGAAATAATTAGCACGTGACTAGTGTCTCCTTCTCATTGATTTTGGAACGCGGTTTTGAAAAAAAACTTTATTTTCAAATTACCGCTTAGAAAAAATAAAATCATTTCATTTACAGTAAAAATGAACTGCCATTTTGATTTCATTAAGTAAGAAAACAAGTTTAATTGCTTTTAATTAGTACAAATTGATCCTTTTTATTATTGTAAACGTGTGTAATTAATCGGGAGAGGAGAAATTTAGAGGTTTTGTTTTTTGTTGTTTTCATTTTATTTAAGCTAATGTTCATAATTTTTAAAGGAACTTTTCTGTTAATTCACCCTAAAATATTAATTCACCCCGAAACAAAAAGAATTTATATTTACTAGAATTCAGACCAAATTCTTCCAGAGCGAGGCCCTTCCATTGCACCCGGCCTGGTTGGGTTGACCTTTGCGATCGCTTCAAACGTGGGCCACTCGAGTGCACTAGTTCTAAGTGTGGGGTCAGCATTCGCGTTCACCTCGATAAACAAGCCAAAAACAAATTTATTTTTTCTTTTAAATTGTAAAAAAAAATATCCTTGAAAGTACTTAGACTATCATCCGCACTTTACGAAATGTGAAGAACTCCCTGATTTTTGGTAATTCTGGAGATTGGAATTGTTGCGAGGCAAGTTAAACAAATATTGCTTTAAAATTCTCCTTTTTAAAAGAGTGTCAAAGATTAAATAAAAAGACAAATTAACTTTGATTTAAAATTTATGATTTCTTGGGGTGAATTAATAATATTTGCGATAAGTAACTTTTTGGTGTGAATTAACAGAAAAGATCCATTACGGAAACGACCGCCAAACATTATGTTTTTTCGTTAGTTTTCACAACGAAAACTAATGCTTAACCCCTAATTCCGGGGATAGATAATTAATAAAATAAATTCAACATATTAAGTCCTACTTGTTATGAAACTTTTGGTCAAGTGGGGACAGGCACGTCACCAGAGGTGGGCTGATTTAAGTAGAGGGATATTTGATCACAAAAATTAGTTGCATTTATTTTTACGGGGATTGTCGCAGTATTTTACTAATGAAAAAAAGAACACACACCGAAAATGCTATGTTATATATCGTTATATTTTTCTAACTTTATTTTTTTTTGTTTTTATAGCAGATGCTTTTTCTTTAGGTAGCATTACACAAATCTATGAACAGCTTTTGACCCAAAATAGAATCTAACTGAAAGAGATACAGAAATAACCGTTCGGGAGAAAGGCAGCCATGATTTTAATTTTCTTCTTCAAGATAAATTAATGTTAAAGTCGGACCGCAAAATAACAACACGAATTGAAATGATAGGTAAACAAGAAAATAATTTTTTTTTCTTTTTGGGTTTTCGTACTTTAAAAATTTGGACGTTAACTTTTGTTGAGAATTAACGAAAAATTCCCGAAATTTGCTTGAATTTTTTATTGAAACTTCTGAATTTTTACTTATAAAGAAAGAAAGACGGGAACATATGCCTAAAAAAATAAATTAAATCTCCAGGTCAACTGATTTAAATAATAAATAATAATTTCTGTTTCCCACACATAATTCATTAACTTTTAGGAAAACATCAATTGCTATTGTTTTTGTTTTTTTTTTAATCGAAAAATGACATTTTCTATGAAAATTGTATTCATTTTATTGCCAAGAAGTCGAATTTTACGTCTGCACCTTCGGTATTGGCCCATACATTTCAAATGAGTAAATCTTGCTTTTAGAAGCAACAACATTTTAAAAAGGTTATTACCCCAAAATTAGGTTCGCCTATCGCCCGGTTCACGCCATTCCCAGGTCTTTTGAACAGGAGTAGAGGTTTCTCTTTTGTTTCCTGTTTAGGATTGGGTTTCCGGATCCTTCTAAAGTTTTCTCATTCTCCACTACTCACAGTAACTCATTGCGTCTTAGTGGCATTATCGCCTTCCTTGGGGTGAATTGATTAAAATAATAATGATAATAATAATAAAACACTATATATGTCTTGACATTAGTATGGACATAATCGTTAGAAGAACTTCTTGACAATATCAGAAATGGGTACAAATTTATTTCTATGCCAATTTGTTACATAAAAAAAGTATTTAGGGAAATGTTATGTTTTTCTAAGTACGATCCTGTAGATTGAGAAACGAATCGACAACCATTAGGTGAAATAGTCTATACTAAAAAAGAAAGAAAGAAAGAAGAAAAGAAAAGAAAGAAATAGTTATGATTTATTAAAATAAATTACATCGCATCCCTTTTTGACTATGGGTTCAAAATTTGAACAACTTACGATACAAAGCCTAAGTTAAAAATGTGCGCAAAAGTCTTATAATTTAATGCAAATATTTATCAACAAAAAAGAAGACAAAAAAAAAAAAGATAATATTAAAAATTATAATTTCAGCAATTATTCTCTTTTGACTTTTCAATCAGGGCGTCAAAAAATAAAAAACTCGTGGGGTGGGTCTACACAATGACGTCTCAGATGCTGATTGGATAGCAAGTAACAACTAAACACTGGATATCACAAAATGTAGATCTTTTTAATTATCATGTTCATTCAAGACGCAGGCAGTCATGCCTCTCTACAGCTTCCTTTTTTTAAATATCCATATATACTGTGCATTAACATGACTGTTCTTGGGGAAAATAGTGTAGTTTCTCGTTGCTTTCTTTGCGGTTTTCAAAGTTGTTCTTCTCGTAGACTGGTTGCCAATCAAGACCAGAAAGCCATGTCTAACCTACTGTTTAACGCATAACTTGGATACAGGGAAAGAAATGTTTTTTTTTCTTAAGGATGTTAGTGCAAGATAGCTATAAACTGCCCTAGCAGGTATTTAATCTCGATCCACCGGCTTCATTTTCCATGTGTCTAACCGTCAGTTCACTCGCACCTCTACATGTAAATATGTGTACATAATGTAAATAATAAAGAGATAATTTTTAAAATTATATAACTTGATTTCTCCTAAAATGAATAAAAGAAGAAAGCAAGAGACTGGAGATTTTTGAAGCTTGAAAAATATCTGAAGATACGCATCCATATTGTATACGTTTCTGCGTTTGAGTTTTTTTAAATGAATTGTTCATTTTTATTTGAATTTTTGAGGTAAGCAATTATCTTTGATTTATTTGAACTATTGTCCTCATCATTGATTACTGCAGATGTTATTATAAACAATGTTTCGGCCAAATAATCATCAGATTCTTTTGCATATCTTGCATGGAGTAATTATTGCTTCTCGTTCGTTCCCACATAAATAAATTATATGAACTTCATTATTTGTTTCAGTGATTAAATTCAAGAGATGACAACAACACTTGATTAACGAAGGTCTATTTACTAAGGGGAAGCATCGTGGAGTAATAGATAGTGGCTTGGGTTGAGGAATGGGAGAGCCGAGTTCGAATTCCAGTCGTATCGATTACATTCACTTACGTGCTAATACTCTTGGGAAAGGTATGAATCCTCTTCTTCTCCCTCCACCCAGCTATGAGTAAATAACAGGACAAACTGAAGAAAGAAGAATTCTTAATTCAAAGCCTAGAGAGGGCTGGGCTCTGTCAGGATATCTTGCCCAAGAAACACCATTTCTACTGTGGCTGCAGTACACATGATGAACCTACGGGTCACGAGATAAAAAAATATCTACTAACTTTCCTTCTGTTAGGTGGTGTATTTTTCTAGGCTAAAGTTCAGTGTCAAATGGTTTTTTGGTATTATTACAGCGGGTTCCTATCCGCCTTTTTTTATGATTTTGTTTGATTTTAGAGATAAGTGATTTTGAATTTTCTTCAAATGACATCGATATCAAACAAAAAACGAGGACAGAAATTCGAATAAGTCAGAAAATTATAAACATTTCGTTGTTTTCAGTAATTAGTACTTCCTGTGGACGCCAGGTGGCGCTAATAAATTAGTCATAAATTACTTCCTGTGGACG